TTTTCGCAAAGCAGTACAACTGTCGGGGTTGGATGAGAGTTGTGATGGAAGTTGTTGGTGCTGGGATGTTCTAGGTCGAAAGGGAAACCGCGCTGGGACCTGCTGTACAGCCTTGGAAAACAGTCCATAAAATGACCGGCCCTTGTGACACAATCAGTCACCCTTTGTTCTTCGTAATACACTCTACCCCACGTCGCCTGCATAATCTTCTCTTATTACCCAAACTTTTAAGAAAGACCTCGACCTATTCCAACTCTCCAAACCCATTGGCTCGACCAGACTTCAACTACGTAGATATGCCTGAAGAGATGCCTGAAAGCAGCGCCCATGAAAAGCGCGACTACATCAAGGCGTTGAAGATACAGATAGAGGAAGCAGAAGAAGAAGACAAGAGGCTAGAAAGAGATCTAGAAGAGCGGAGGCAGGAGCTGAAGGAGCTGGAGGCCAAAATCAGGGAAAAAGAAGGTATACCATCAAACTAGACATGGAAAAGAAGATGGCGATGAAGAAATGAGTAATAGGTAGAAGGGCAGCTTCGGTCAGGTCTTGGTTGATGTGAGGCGGTCTCCCGATGAATTTCACGGATTATATGACAGTAGGAAGGCCCCACACATATACGCAGCTGATGAGTGTTCTTCTATTTGGACAAAGCTGTGAATGGCAGTCGGTTCCTATCGTGCTCGTTGTTCAAGGATCGCGCTCCGCGGTGATGTTGATGAATGCATGCAAAGGCCGCGACGTGAAGGCAAGACTGCGAACACAATGACATCTGCCAATTCCTGACTCGAACGCGAAACCCGAATGGTGAAAGGTCAAACCCCACAAATATCAGAACAGCGTGGCCTCTTGGGAGTTTGGTGGGAGATTCGCGATAGCTCAGGGACGGAGCTACGGCTAGCGCGCGCACGGGTAATTTCCCCAGCGACACGTTGCGAAAGCTCATGAAGCAAACCCCCTCTCCATCTTCCATCAACTGGCTGTTCGCAACCACCTTCTTCACCTTCTCGTTGTCTTCTTTCTTGTCTCTGGGCCATAGTTCGCAATCATGAGCGGCCGTAAGTCTCCACCCCACCCGTCAATGGCCCGGCGAGGCGTGCGCGCAACACCTGCGAGGAATTAGTTACGGCGCGGACGAACACCACAGCTAACGGTTGCACGTAGTACGGTTCCTCGATCTCGTCAAGCCTTTTGTGCCTCTGGTGCCTGAAATCCAGCTGCCAGAGAGCAAGGTTCCTTTCAACAACCGCCTGGTATGGACCGGTCTGACCCTCCTCGTCTTCCTCGTCATGAGCCAGATGCCGCTCTACGGAATCGTGTCGTCTGATACCTCCGACCCGCTATACTGGCTCCGCATGATGATGGCGAGTAACAGAGGAACACTGATGGAACTGGGTATCACCCCCATCATCACCTCCGGCATGGTTTTCCAGCTTCTCGCGGGAACCCACCTCATCGACGTCAACCTCGACCTCAAGTCTGATCGCGAGCTCTACCAGACCGCGCAGAAGCTCCTCGCTATTCTCCTGTCTTTCGGTCAGGCCGTCGTCTATGTCATCTCTGGTCTCTACGGACAGCCATCCGACCTCGGTGCCGGTATCTGCGTTCTCCTCGTCATTCAGCTGATGATCGCTGGTCTGATCGTTATCCTCCTCGACGAGCTCCTCCAGAAGGGCTACGGCCTCGGCAGCGGTATCTCACTCTTTATCGCCACTAACATTTGCGAGTCCATCATGTGGAAGGCTTTCTCGCCCACCACCATCAACACTGGTCGCGGTCCTGAGTTCGAGGGTGCTCTCATTGCCCTTGTCCACCTGCTTTTCACCTGGCCCAACAAGACTGTCGCTCTCAAGGAGGCTTTCTACCGCCAGAACCTCCCCAACGTCATGAACCTGATCTCCACCGTCATCGTTTTCGGTGCTGTCATCTACCTCCAGGGCTTCCGCGTCGAGATCCCCGTCAAGTCTGCCCGCCAGCGTGGTGTCCGCGGCTCCTACCCCGTCCGCCTGTTCTACACCTCCAACATGCCCATCATGCTGCAGTCGGCTCTGTCTTCCAACGTCTTCTTGATCAGCCAGATGCTCTACAACCGTTTCTCCGACAACCTCCTTGTCAAGCTTCTCGGTGTCTGGGAGCCCAAGGAGGGTTCCGCTCAGCTTTTCGCTACCTCCGGTGTCGCCTACTACATGTATGTCTAATCATAGTTCATGCAACAGAACCAGCCACTAATCAGCTCCAGGTCTCCCCCTCTCAGCATCACCGAGGCCCTCTCCGACCCCCTGAAGACCGCCATCTTCATCGTATACATGCTCGTCGCTTGCGCTGTCTTCTCTAAGACCTGGATCGAGGTGTCCGGCTCGTCTCCCCGCGATGTTGCCAAGCAGCTCAAGGAGCAGGGTCTGGTCATGGCTGGTCACCGTGAGGAGTCCATGTACAAGGAGCTCAAGCGCGTCATTCCTACCGCAGCTGCCTTTGGTGGTGCCTGCATTGGAGCTCTGTCCGTCGGCAGCGACCTTCTCGGTGCTCTTGGTAGCGGTACTGGTATTCTCCTTGCCGTAACCATCATCTACGGATACTTCGAAATTGCCGCCAAGGAGGGCGACATGGCCGGCCTCAAGGGCATGGTCATGGGCTAGATTAGCCCATAGGGATATTGGATTTTTGATTTGAACGACGGATGGGTTGGGGCTGGGGTGCTTCGCCGCACATTGTAACATATGATCTAAGAACAAAAGTTTACGAAGGTCTCTGGCATCACTTTACGTACTGCAGCGTGGCGTCTGGCTAGGCTCACGATGTCGGCCCTTCTCTAATGTATCATTGTTAACCCTTAAACTGCGTTTGGACCTGATCGCACCTGCAGTAAACACTTGAAGCACTCACGTGCTCAGCCTTGGCGTGTTGCTCCTCCACCTTACTCATCGAGCTTCAGTCATTCTTGCTCTGTCTGTTGCTTGCACCTACCTTGGTAGGTATTGCATCCAACGACAGGTATGCCTCAGCCGTCATCAAGAGCCCACGTCATGGATTCAACCTTCACCAGCAGCGTCGCATTGGTCAGCTTAGCGAATGCGAAATGTGGCTTACGTGCGTACCAAACCGCCACGCTAACGCACGCTGCGGTCTGCGATGCGAAAGCCTGGGCATTGCGGCCTAGGAAACATCGTCACACACGGCATTGAGGCGTTTTACACATGGGTAATGCGAGGATTAAGCGAATGCGATGTGCTGCTGCGGATGCGAAATCTGGTCATGATGCAGTGCGTGTCTTCAGTTTGGACGACTACATAAGATGGGCTTGTCGCTGTTGAAGGTGAGGTATTGCAGCTATCTATTTTACCTCTTCCTCGAGTTCTAGTACTCGTACTTGATCGATTCGCTCGGATTGCGGTTAAACCGTCATCATGGCAAGCTCACTTAGCATCGCTCATGCTACGCTGGACTGGAAACGACAGAATCCACCTAAAGGGCCAGGCTTCGATTGGGAGATGTACCGTTATGTTCCTTCTATGGCTGGAGCAATCGTCTGCCTCGTCGTGTTCCTCGTAATGGCTCTTCTACATTTGTATCAGTTTCTCAAGTCGAGGAATCGGATTATCGTTTTTGTTGTTATCGGCGCATTATGTACGCTATATCCTCCTGATGATCTCTCACATACCAGTGGCACTCCATACGCAATGTCTTTGAACTTTGCTAACACTCGATTGCAGGCGAAGTTGGCGGATACGGCGCACGCATCGCTTCTCACTTCGATAATCAAGCCTGGGGCCCATACATCACTCAAGGTGTACTGACACTTGTCGGTCCTCTGTGGTTCGCCGCAACCATATACATGATGCTTGGCCGTACCATCAGACTCGCCGGCGGAGAAGACGTCAGTCTGATCCCAGCGAGATGGTACACAAGAATCTTTGTCACCGCGGATGTCACAACGTTGATCATCCAGGGCTTAGGTACGCGAACTTGACAAAGATGAGGACCGAAAGGATGTAAGCTAATGAGATAACAGGCGCCAGCATCATGGGAACCATGCAACTCGCCCTCGCCCTCGCAGGCGAGAAGATCGTCATCGCGGGCCTCGCACTCCAAGTCGCTACCTTCATCATCTTCCTCGTCGCCTCTTTCGACTTCCAAATCCGCATGAACAAGAAAGCCGATCATCCCTCAGCAGACTGGAAGAAGATGCTATACATACTCTACAGCGTCAGTGCGCTGATCTTGTTCCGCTGCACCTTCAGACTCATCGAGTATGCCATGGGCAACGCTGCGTATCTGATTGCGCATGAATGGACGTTGTATTGCTTCGATGCTGTGCCAATGTTTTTGGTCTTGGTGCTGTTGCTGGTTCTGCAGCCGAGTCGATATGTTGAGGGAAACTTGGGGAAATCGCGACTGGACAGCGATGGCGAGGTCGGCGTTGTGGAGAGAAAGTGATGGGTTTTGGCAGTTTGGTCAGTACTTTCAGCGCGCTTGGAGCAACTTTTACGGGTGTCCTCCATATTCCTAAGCGCAATACATTTTGCTTCTGTTCTTCAGTCTGCTTACGACCTCATCTTTTCGGCAAGTCCTGGTACATTTGCCTGGACCCACGCAGGCGAAACCTTTCAAATGCCTTCGACTTTGCACAGCAGGCTATAACATGTTTTCACATGCCAATAACGTTTATTTGAGCTTGACAGCCGGCCGTTGCGAAAGCTCACTTTGGCCCCTATGACGTGCATGACTCGAGGTAGGTCAGATCTTAGCTCTCAAGCTTGGAACAAGCGCACCCAGCCACATCTGGCGGCACGCCTCACGCAGCACCACCTCATGCTGCCACAAAATGTGATTCCTCAATCTATATTAGCTACACACAGACATCAAACGGGATGGCGCGCCGCTCCACCACGTTCGTGACTAAAAGGCCGCATCGCAAATCGAGGGGCGGATGCTTCACCTGCAAGAAGAAGAAAGTGAAGGTAAATCCAGACCTGAGGAGAGTCGTATGGAATTATTAAATTGATATGGTGCAGTGTGACGAAGCGCAGCCCAAATGTGGATACTGTAACCTCCGGAATCTGGATTGCGAATATATCCAAGATGTCCTCTCGACCTCTCGCACTTCGTCGGCAGGCCCATCGTCCAGTGATGAGGTTTTACTATCTACATTCAACACTCCAATAGACTTCAACGATCTTTCCATTGAGCTGGTACCATATCTCAGCCCACACTGCCATACATCCATAGGTACACTCACAGCCCTCGACAGTCATCTACTGCAATTCTACAGAACAGACGCCTACCGTACCGTTGTATCCTGCGACGATGCCATCATCCAGAACCTACACAAAGAGACCATACCCCAACTAAGCATTTCTAACCCATTTCTCTTATACGCCCTACTCGGTATGACAGCAACCTACAGCAACAACGTCACGCCCAATAAGACGGTCGAAAAACAAGCCCTACTCTACCGTCAAAAGACCTTTTCCACCTACAAAGAAGCCCTCAAGAACATCACAGCCGAGAATTACGAAGCCGTCCTCGTAACAGGCGGTCTTCTCCTCGCGCTCGTCCCCGGGCCAGCCACCGACACAGACGAAGATCACCTCGAATGGGTGTTCGGCCTCCTCAAACTAAGCGAAGGCCTGCGTATCCTCGCCTCCCTCCGCTGGGCCCAAGGCATCGAGAAACTTTCCGTGTACCCGTTAGTACGCCGGGAAATCAAGACGCTGCCACCCCCACCCATCATCGACGTGGCAGCCATCGAAGCGCCCATCGGTCCTCTGGGAACGACGCCTGATAACCCCAATCCAGCACCAACATACACACCCATCCATTTCCCTACGCAAACCCGCCTTTTTCTTCCACCGCCCCTGATGCAACTCCTCCAAACTATTATCCGAGGAAAAGATTCTGGGACGCTAGACTGGCACCGACCAACCCTTCTCCCCGTCTTCCACGCTCTCTCCCCCATCTTCCTATCTCTGTATTACTACGGGCTAGACTCTGACTTCTACGTCCGCATCTTCGTCTGGACATCCTTCCTTATGCCAGACTATCTCCAGTTGATGCGGGACAAGGAACCAAGGGCTCTGGTGCTATTCGGGTGGTGGTTGTCGCTGGCAAATCTAGCGCCGAAGGGGTGGTGGACGGGGAAGCGGGTGCGTAAGACTATGGGGGCGATGGTGCGGGCGATTCAAGCGCAGCCTGTGGGAGATGGTGGGTTTGCAGAGCGCGTTCTGAGGAGTGCGTTGAGGATTGTTGATGTTGTGGATAGTGAGGGGAAGGAGGCGGCGGCTAAGGCGGTGTTTGATGACTGGCCTGGGGTCAATTGGGAGGAGGGACCAGTCAGAGCTCAGGCGTGGGATTATGGTCAGTTGGTGGATTTGGGGGAGTTGGATGGCGGTTTGGATATGGATGCTGCTGTGGGTATTGATCTACAAGAGCTAGGTATATCGGTTTGAATTCGAGCTTCGAGTACCATTGCGTATGGATTGGCTGCAAGCCTCCTTATTGTCCTATCTCTGGAGTTGTTCCGGCTGTCTCTGCAGCAACATTCTTGTTTCCTACCTCCGAGTCTTCCTGGTTCTTCCCGCCTTTTGGCTCCCTGAGCATGCAATATAGCTTGATAGCGTCCTTCTCCCCCTCTCCATCCCTGCACTCCATCTCCCTCGCCAACCGAAAGCCAAACTTCTCATAGATGGCGATATTCGGCTCACTCCTGCTACTCTCCAAATAGCACATCCTCCCCTCCTTGTCAGCCATATTCAGCACCTCTTCCATCAATGCCCTTCCCACGCCCTGTCCCTGACACTCCGGCAACACCGTAACGATATTGCAGAAGTAGTAACCCTTTGGATCCGTCCAGAGTTCAGACTGCGCCTCTGCCTGTCGCGCCTTCCATATCCAATACCGTGTTGTGCTGAGGCCGCCACGTCCGTACCACAGGTTCATGCGTATTTGGTTGGCCCAGAGATACCAGTACGAGAGGTATAGCGACCAGGACTCAGGCTCGGACGTGAGTCGCGGTGGGAGCCACATGGCGCAACCGAGGATCTTGGACGGGTTCGACGTGTCGCGTGCGACGTGGAAGAGGCCATGTTCGATGCCCCATCGACAGCGCAAGGTGAGGGATACGCGGTTTCGTGTCAGAGAGACCTGGGAGGGTTAGCAACGCGCGCAAGACGGGCACCGAAATAGGTACCTTTTCGCGATCTGGAAAGACCCAGTTATTGTAAGGGTCATTGGCGAAGGCTTGCTGTATGGTGTCGATTGCGCCGTCGATATCGGCCTCTTTCATGCGCGTTACTTGGATAGGCATTGTGAGAGGTTCTGTCGTGTTGAGGTGTTTCGAGGCTCTTCGTGTCACGGCGGCAGTAGATACGAAGAGATATGCGCCAGTCTCAAAGCTGGCAAACTTCGATAGCCAGCCATGATAGGTGCGGGGAGGTTTGTAGAGCTTGTCGCATGTAACAGGTGGATAGGTGATGAGATGGGAAGGTCTAAGCGACAGTCACGTGCGTTGCGGGGGCTTCCGACTGATCCATGGATGCTTATCTGAGCAGGCGCGTACGAACCGCCTTCACCAATCCTGTCCGCAGCTGTCTTGGCTTTGTTACACAGCTTCAGCCTGGTAGCCATGTCAGCTTTCAGGAATGAAAGTCCGGCCTTGGTGCCTTGGACCTGCGTGACAACGCACACTAAACACCATGGAGACTTCCAAGCAAAGACTCAGGCGGGCTATGCGACTGCCTGGCCCAACTATTGGCTTGAAACGATCCCAAACAGATACTACAAATGGCCAAGCTCATCTGCGTCCTGGCTATCAGGCTGAAGGTGGGGTAGAGACAATAGCAGCAGATCGGCTCCTTCGCCGGCCCATGCCTCCTTCGCTACAATCCAGGGGTGAACAACGACCTACCATGGCGCCAGACACTAGCAGCTTCCCCGATAGATGGGCCGAGATAAGGCGAAAGGCCGAGCTGAGGCAAACGAGTCAAGGAGTCGAGCAAAACGACGGAGAGACCCAAGATGAAGAGACCATCGAGAGTCGCGTGGCACGCATAAAAGCTCGTGTGGCAGAGTTGACGGACAGTGTTGAGGGTGGAGTTTCTGTTTCTGCAGAGCGGAACGAAGAGAGGCCCTTGATGCTACATACCCGTCGACATACGGCCGGAAACATTATCAGCTCTGCTAATGTACAATCTACGCCACGTCGCAATGATATTTACATGGAACCTGTGGATTTCGACGACGCATCATCCGAGCCATCCTTCATCAAACCCATTGAAGCTTCTACACGGACATTGTCAGCAGATAGAAGCGACCTGACTAGTATCGAACGAGACCCATTTTGTAGACCATGGGACTCGGAGTCGATAACAAACCATCTGTTATCGGCGATGGATGTTGCAAGCGCTCGAGTTGCTCTCGAAAGCCTTGGGGTTACCGATCTGTGGCTACCGCTGTCGAAACAACTACTTAAACGATCACTGAGTGATCCTCATCATGTCTCGGAGTTCCTGAGATAATCGCTATCGTCTGCTACTTTCAGTAGACTGCCCCCAGACACTGTGGCTGACACAGCTTAGACACGAGGATCTGAAGCCGCAAAATGTTCTCGTTCACGGCACTAATATATTGCTTACCGATTTTGGATTCAGGTGAGGTGAATCCACCCCACGACACTCTTGTGCTAAGCATACATAGCTTGGACTTCTCCGATGACTCTGTTTCGACAACTACTGGACGCCCATCAGCTTGGACTATTCGATACTCGGCGCCAGAAGTATTAGACTCTGAGCCTCGCAATCGGGCTAGCGACATATTCTCTCTTGGATGCGTTCTGGTCGAGATGGTTTCGGGACTTTACGGACACAGTCTCTCCGAAGTCAAGGACTATTGGAAGAAAACTAGCAACGGACAATCCAGTTTTGCACGCAACCCAGAGGCAACATCTTCGTGGCTCGATGCGTTTTCAGATCATCCCAAGAGCATCAGACTCAGATGCATTGTGGAATTCCTGCCATTCCTGTTGCATACAGAACGTCTCGATCGACCGTCGGCTCAGATGGTGGTTGATAATGTGCACAATCTCAGCTTACGCCTACGCGATGCACCTCATCTTGCCAATGCTTGCTGCGGGCTAGCGGCAAGATTGTCAGACGATCTCCTATCTATGGGCGTAAGGGAAGTTGATTTGCCGAAATCAGATGATCCACAGATTTATCTCGACATCGCCAGCTATTTCGATGCTCTTGCAGACAACCTTATGACATATATCGTACTTGACCAGCGTTTCAAACAAGTCGCTGCCAAGCATGACTGTTATTCGGATATTTGGGAAACACTCAGTCGCAGAATCCTCAGTCGCAGCGATGTTTCTTCAATCGAGGCTGCATGCGAGATGCTCTTCCTACGATGCAACAAGACAGAGCCGATACTAGATCACCCACACAGCCAGACTGATGCACCAACAGGGCTTGATCTGGACCAAGCGCTGCGGCAGGTACTTGATGTTTATACCTCGTGGCAGGCTATATTCACAGCGCTGAGTGTAAAACTTCTTACGCCCCAAGAGCCATGGAGACATCAAGTGTCTTTCACAGCATTTCCAAGTATTTGGCATAAACGAACAGTCCAGATTTCGATGGTTGGCCTGGAAGATGGCCATCGCGACAATTGCGACTTCAGTTCCGTGTTTTATGTGTTGGCATTCAAAATCTACGAGGAGGGATACGAACCTTCGAAACTGGGCGCGCCTTGCGTAGACCTGACACAACGCCACTTAGGAGCAAAGAATGACGAGGGTCCATTACCACACGGATGGGGTGAAATGCTATAGTATCATAGCAGCAATAAATGTAATACTGTCACTGTATGCTGCATTTGCTGCACAAGGCTTCCAATACACAGCACTAGCTTACATGACAGTGCCCCGAGTACGCAAGAGCGAAGTATAGCAGATCCTTGGACTAAGAGATTGTGGCATCATGATCCTGGATGATCATGTCTTGTGCTATAACACAGATTCGGGTCTACGAAGCCGAATCGGCATACTGCTAGGTCAAGATCAGTATCGCAAAAGGCTTGCGATTGTCGGAAAGCAAGGTGCGGGTTCACCGTGTATGGCTATGCCATCATGATGTCAGATTATGTTATTGGCGTATGCGTGTGCGCTACAAGCAGTCTCAACATCATTGGGCTGGGACATGTCTTCTTATTTCATGTCCTCTAGATTGATTTGTTCTTATTGAGTTACAACGTAATTAACATACCAAGACACACTTCACTTACAAAAGTAAAAGAGGACAAAGAGGACAAAGTGATGGTGTACAGGACTCAAGCGTGAAAGGGAGACATACGGCATGAGCAGCGATCCCAGCAGTGCACATAGAGTCGCAAGGTCCAATTGTAACTCCTACATGGTAGCGACCTGACGAAGTAAGGAACTAATCATCGCCCATGGTCCACACGCTCAAAAGTACGCTGCGCATCAAGCGTACGCTTTTTGTGTGACTCAAAAACCTAGATGCGCAGACGCATGCTTACCTTTTCCCTTACCAAGGATGACAACGAATCAAGCAACTAAAAAGCTGCATGATTGCTTTTCGTGACCAAGACATTCCGCTTCCGCGATAACGCTCATACACACGCAGCACACACACATCGTGATAGTTCTACACACGAACCCACATACTCACCGCTCGAGCCCAAAAGCCCATACTCACACATGCGCTTATGTCAACATGTTCGCACAAAGCAAGCCCCGCACTACACTACAGCACACTACCCCAACCTCAGCCCAACGTCTATTCGTCATGGGATCGACAGTCCTGCATGGCCTGGTCAGTCAGCCTACCGAACCCAGTCCAGCCCAGTCCGATGACACCCTCCCGCACTGTGTGCGGGCGAAGCGAGTGAGCATGAGCGGTTCCGGATAGCGAATGCGAGTCTGCATGGGGAGCTGGTAGACCTGTTTTGACCGGGCCGTTGTTGGGTTGGGAGTTGATGGTTGATGCGGGCGTGTGGCATGACATGTGTGGCGAGGAGGCGCTGCTTTTTTGTCCCGGGGGGCTATGCTATGCGATGCTCTGAGTCTGCGGTGATTGATGTGGCGAGGGACATGTACATGGTCTTCGTACTTGGGCTGCGTAGTCGGCCCGCTGCGTACATGTATGTGTATACTTATCGGTGGATGGAGGTTACCGGCGTTGTTGATACGAACGTCTATCGTACTGAGTCTATTGAATATTCTTGGTGGTGTTAGGACATGAGTAGGCACATGATGTCAACGTCCGAACGTCGGCATTTTCCTCCTTTGCGATCAACATGTCAACGATCTCTGTTCAACATCTTAGGCTCTCGCTTACGGCGATGTAGTATACCGTCAGAAATCAGCTGATTCGCCGGGTTATACAGCCTTGTGTCCGGCTTTTTCCTTGAACCGTGGCGCTGTAAAGGT